GCAGTGAGGTATGCCTTATGAATATACACAGCTCCAACCTCACCTCACGTATACACAGGTTTTCTGACACCTCAGTAACAACTGCTTTGTGGGGAGGAGTTCTCCGAAAGTTGATTACAATCCAAACCCCAAGAGAGAACTGATAGAGGTCAGTCTATGCAGACATGGAGCTAAGGGGGTTTCAGGGTGTGATATTGTGATTTATAGTAACAAATATATATTTGGTCTTTGTCTCCCTTACTGGTACAGAGCTCCTAAAACCCTTGGAATTTCCTAGGTCATCAGAGCAATAAGGTGTCTTTTGTTATGTTAATAAGATGACTTTTGGAGAGTACCTAAGGTTGGGGGCTGGTTGCCAGGGGACCAAACATGTGATTAGAAGGTTGGAAATTTCAGTCCTACCCCCAACCTTGCCGGATGGGAGAGGGGCTGGAGGTTGAGTTGATGGCCAATGGCCAATAATTTCATCAATCATGCCTGTGTAATGAAGCCTCCATAAAACCCCAAAAGGACAAGTTCCATAAAGCTTCTGGATCAGTGAACACGAGGAGGTGCTGGGACAGTGGTGCCCTTGGAGAGGGTGTGGAAGCTCCCAGCCCTGTCCCTATCCCTTGCCCTATGCATCTCCTCCATCTGGCTGTTCCTGAGTTATATCCTTTTATAATAAACCAGTGACCTAGTAAGTAAAATTTTCCTCTGAGTTCTGTGAGCCACTCTAGCAAATTAATTGAAAGGAGCCTCCAATCTATGGCCAGTGGGTCAGAAGCACAGGTGACAACCTAGACTTGCCATTGGTGTGTGAAGTGGTAAGGGGACCGTCTTGTGGGATCTGACACTCTCTCCAGGTAGCTTGTGTCAGAATTGAGGTGAATTGTAGGACACCCAGCTGGTGTCAGAGAATTGCTTGGTGGAGGGAAAACATTCCCATATCGGAACTGGGAGCAGAATCGAACAAGGACAAGTCGAGATGGCCCTGAATGAAAAAATAAATCGCTTTACTTTTTACTGGCAGTTTCCCAGATCCTCCAGGAAGGGGCTTGCACAGAAAAACTTTGATTTTATTATCGTATATTTTTTTCTAGATAAAGTGAATTCCCAGAACATGAGATACACTCACATTTATAAGCAAATATGTAAACAACACAAAAACCAAATCTAGTGATTTTTCTTTTCAAATTAACTGTGGTTTTCTGAATGCCATTGAATCTCTTCTCATCTATTAGTGTGAATTGTTAAAAACTGGCTGTTCTCATTGAAGTGTAAGAATGCTAAGTGGCTTTAAAAACCTTCAGAAGATATTATGTGGAAAATAAAATTGAGTATGAACGCAATTCTATTAAAAATATGCGTGACTGGAAAGATAGGAAGTAAATTAGCAGTTACCTCGGGGTAATACAATTATGGGTAATTTTTATTTTCTTCACTTGGCTTTACTCTGTTTTTCAAATACATTCTAAATGTGTATTATTTTTAGAATCATGAAAAAAATATTGTGAACGTCTGTCTCATCTTTCAAGTCCATCTTCACAGCACCTGTGTGGCACCTGCATGGCATCTGTGGGCTTTCGGTATAATCTCCCCTCCTCCTCCCCTGACTGGGAGGGCCCGTATCAGCAGGGCTGGATGTTGAGCTGTGCACCCCAAGTGTGGCTGTCAGAGGCCAGAAACAGTGATCAAGGACTCATGCCGCCTCTTGAGTCTCTTTCACTGTCTCAAGCCCTGGGTCTGACCTGCGTCCTCTGGGGCTGGAGCCCAAGGTAGGCAGGCGTCCAGAATGGGGGAAGTAGTGAGGCCATATCCTTCCTGAAGAAGTAAGTGCTTGTAACCCGAGGTCAAGTGCAGGGGCGTGTCCGAGAGAATGCTGGATGCCTGAGGAGGCCAGTCTGAGTCCTGAGGGTGGGAGGTGGACGCAGGGGCCAGGAATGTGGAGCCCTTGGCTGCAAGAGCTGGGAACTGGGAAAGGGGATGGGAGGAAGAGCGGGCAGACAAGGGCAGCGCTTGATACTCACAGGCTAGTGGAGCAGATTCGGGGCCAGCCTGCGGCATCTGAGGGGTCAGGGCCTGAATGGACAGCTAGGAGCCAGGGGGTCAGGGACTCTGCACCTCCTCGGCACTCTGACCCCAGACACCTGCCCTTGGGACTGCAGACCAAGTTATCTTGAGAACGGTGACACTACGCCCACTTGTGGTATGGAGGCCTGTGCTATCCCTGGCGTCCCCTGCAGGAATTCCTTCCTCCCATGTGATCAGGTGTTGGATGCCAGGTCCCCAAGACGCTGGCTTTCATTCTAGAATACAAAGAGGGTTTTCCCCGGTGGCTCATCTCCACTCAATCTTGTTGCCAAGTGAGTTGTCTGAAATGTGCTTATTAATTATTGATAACCTCGTTGATTTTTAAAATGTGCTTGCCTTTAGCAACGGCAGTTTGTAAAAGCACGGCATTACTTTAAACACGCACCAAGGAGAGACTTCATTACATTGACCCACTGAGAGAAGGCAGTGTACGAAAAATATTTTAATATATTACATCGCACGATACATCAAACCAAAACTCAAAAGCATCACATATGGAGCATAAAAAAGAAAAATATATATATACATTTGCCTAAAAACTAAGACGTCCTATACACACTCAAGACAAACACTTAAAATCTTACAACGTAATTATTCTTCATCTAATCACAGCAGATTAGACAGTCTTTTCGACAACAGGGCAGCCTACAGGATGAGTTCTTGCCTGACAGAGCCTCATTGTGACTTTGTGCTCTCGTTTTAGTATCTTGGTTCTCTCTATCGACCCAACAACTAGAATCCAGATTCCAGACTAAAGGACAGGCTCCATTTCAGATGATTCAGCCAGATGGTTTCACTAGTCGTCTTTTTTATTATTTTTTGTTTACTGCAGTAACATTGGTTTGTAACATTGTATAAATTTCAGGTGTACATTGTTATACACTTGTCTTCAAACTTAGAAGCAAATAGGCAACTCTCATAACATTTATCACTAAATAACAGGGACAAGTCATACTTTTTAACCAATATGCTATTACTAATGTCTGATATTTCTAGGTTTCTTAAGACAAAATTCCTTTCATATTATTACAATGTAAACTTAAGCAATAATTAAAAGCAGCACAAAATATTTGCCCTTAACATATACATTGAAATACCTCAGTTAAATTACCCTTTGCTTTTGTAATAAAAAGGAACACGTTTCACAAAACTGACACATATTTAAAACTGAAAAAAAAGCAAAACCTTATATTTGAATTTTACTCTAATGCTAAAAGTCCCTGTTTCTCTCCTTTAAGAAAAATTAACATCTGAATATTTTAAACATCAAAGCTTTGCAAATCCTGACAGTGCATAAGGAAGGGGGGTGGTGGTCCAAAAACAACAGGAAATTGTATTTACAATAGCTTCTTTCTTTTCTTTTTTTTTTTTTTCCTGGCTGAGGAAGACTCTCCCTGAGTTAACATTTGTTGCCAATCTTCCTTTTTTTTTTCAATGTGGGCTGCCGCCACAGTGTGGCCACTGACAGATGAGAGGTGTAGGTCCAAGCCCAGGAGCCAAACCTGGGCCACTGAAGGGGAGCACACCGAACTTCACCACCAAGCCGCCGGGGCTAGCCCTACAATAGCTTATTTCTTAAGTGCAGCTTTTTGTTTTGTTTTATATTTCCCTTTGGGAAAAGAGACATACAGTTTCCCTCAGCTCAAGAGAAATTCATTCTAACTCAGGGGATTTGGGCCGATTTGGGCTTCAGATTCAGAATTTATTTCAAAGAATAATGATTGAGCACCTACTATAAACCAGACAGTGTCTCTGTTGCTTCCACATATGTGATCTTTCTTTGTTGCACTTACCCTTGTTGAATAAAGGGAAGATCAGCAAAGTGCACTCGTGTTAAGTAACGAAATTGTTTTATGTTTATATTGATTATATTAACATTATCATAGCTCAGATACTATCAAAATCCATAAGGAAAAAACTTTCTAGTTCATTTTTCTCTTAGAAAAATAAAATAAAATGGAAAATATATGACAACTTATGCTATTTTAGATGGGACACAAACATATTTCATTTGAATTACAGTGACTTAAAATTTGAAGTAGAAATGTCTTTGCTGAGAAAAGAATCATAAAAACCAAACCTTTCAAAATCACGAAGTCTTGAAAATAGATGATGAAGCCAAATTTTTGCGTGGTGGGTTAACGGCATCAGGCAACATTTAAATGCCACCTAGTGAGCGACATAGGAATGGCAACTGCATTAAAATTATCTTTTTTCTGCTTGGGTAAAAAATTTTCCATGATTTTGTTTTTTGGAAACAATGATAGGAAATCATTGTTCCCCAGGCAATGAGATACTGTCTAGGTCACATAAACAAGCTGCATGTGATATTTCCTCAAGGAGAGAATTCTGTCCCCTGATCCAGTTTAAGTGACATCTTCCTTCAAGCTCTTTCTTAGAAAAGGAAGGCCCCAGATCTTCTCATACTGACCTAGATTGCACCTTATTTCAAGTGATTCAGAGTGAATTGAGAAATATTATATTGTGCCACTTCTTTATTTACATAAAATCCAGGTACATTCTAGACTCTTCATCACATTCTTTCCTACACTCACCCAGTGCTTTTTCAGAATAGCTCATGCCAATCCAGCAAGCCGTCACTTTTCAGAGATTTGGGGCCAACCATCTACTCAAATGAACTCAAATGTTTGTGCTTGACAGACTCTAGTAGCTTGTATAATAATTTCACACGGCAATCTAAGCACTGACCCCGTGTCAACTTCATCGTGAAATGTAAAGTGTGTCTTGGTTTTACTAAGAATCTTAGAAGAGAACGGAGAGCAAGAGAGATAGCTAACATTCATGGAATAGTCAGCGTGGGCAGGGGCTGTGTGGAGCATCGGTAGATGGACTGTTCCTTCTAGGCGCTTACTGAAGACTGATAAGATTATCATTTCTTATCCTTTGAAACATCTGTTGACTATTTCTAAACTTCTGGGTCAAAAGTCCAAGATTGCATAGTAAAAAGACAGAAAAAGAAAGAGGTTACAACAAGCAGAAATAATTGGGGGAGATATTTTGTAATTTTTCCAGATGTGAAAATTGGCATCCTGATATTTAGCAGAAAAGAACTGAATCTCTCAAATGAAAGGACTGGAAAAATAAATGAAAATACAGGAGTCACAGTAAACACTGCTCAAAAAATCAAATCCAAAATAACCTAATTAACTAAAGTTAATGGTTTTGCATTATCTGTGGAAGTCAGTCATCCAAGTTATTTAGGTGTTCAGTGACCAGAGATAATCAGATATCATGTGCAATAAAAAACCAGATTTGGGGCCACTGAGAAATGCCAACAGGAGGCACTGCTGACAGTGGCGGCCACACTTTGAGTCTGAGTAAGAGGTCCCCACAGGTGGGCTGAAGGCCGGTTCCACTTCCGGCGTTACCAGTCCAGCTTCAGGTCTGCCTTGCTCCACACGTATTTTCCTCCTCTCTTTAGAAACATCTTCTCATCAAATCCACTGAATTTTATAGCTTCTTCTACTCCAACATCCAGGATGGACTTGGAAGGATCCTTCCGTCCATTTCTACAGTTCAGAAAGCGCATCTAGAAAATTCATGACAGAAATTGGGATATTTCTGTATAATTTATCCTGTAAAACTCAGTTTTGAGGATTCATCCAAAATGACTTTGATAATCCAATCATTTCAGCAAATGTTTATTGAGAACTGTGGCCAGATACTATACTGAGAATGCTGAACTCCTTGGACACCATCTCTCTACTCAACTAACTCACATTAACTGACATAAACATGTTAGATTGATTAAGTGCATGATAATCAGAGTTATATACGTCCACAGGAGGGGTATGTCTCTCCACTGGGGAGGAGAGGTTAATCAGGAAAGACCTCCAAAACATCATACTGATGTCTGAGTTATGTCTGAAATTGTAAGTTGGAGAGAACAGTATTATAAAAGCACAGAGGCATGAAAGAGTGTGGTGTGTTTGGGAAATTGTGGGTGGATGACATTGATGGAATGAAAACTGTGTGCACGTGAATATATAAGTGTAAGTATTAATAAAACTTCCTTAGAGAGGAGGAGAGAGAGAGTGATAAGAAAGGAGCTACAGAGGCAGGCTGGCGCCAGGTCAAGAAGAGTCTTCTATGCCCTGATAAGTGTCTTGGTTTTTATCCTACATTAAACACCTTACAGGCGGGAATGAGGTCCTCACACGTCATGTGACCTGCCATGACACTGAGCATTTTGTAGGAGCTCCGCTAATACTTGTTGAATCAAAATGTTCTTAAACTGCCCAAAGCAAATTTTAGTTCCACTACATTTGTTCCAACTGTGTGGAGACCAGAGTTTGTTGATGAGCATTGATCAAAATTTCCAGCCAATCATGACACTCCAAAAATAACTTCCGTTTGACTTTTCCTCTCTACCTCTTTCCTCTCAAACTGAACATTCGTGTGATTACTTTTCCCCTTATGCTCCATAAAAAAGGCTCTCGTCAACAAAAAAATGAAACGGCTGTGAAGCATCATTGATTAAGTTGAGAATAATAAAATACCAAAATCACAATAAGCATTTCTCAAAACACCAAATCCCATTTAAATATTGAAGCCATTGTTCTTGTTGGAGCTCATTTCTTAAAAACAAGTCTTTGAATGGAATTATTTGTCCTGTGCTAGAAATATTGGCAAAGGTTTATCTAGCCAAAAAAAAAAAAAAAAGAAAAGAAAGAGAGACAAGAGAAAGCAAAAAGGGATGTGTTTTCTATTTCAAGAAGGGCAGATTTTCCTTTTCCTTTGGAAGGCAGTGGGGGCAGGGATAATATCGGTGGCTTTTGGAGTGGAACTGTAACCTCTTCTTACCAAAGCCAAGATGTATCAGTCAGAGGGCAAGCTGGCAGTATGTGAGAAATTAAATGTCATGAGAAGTGTCAAGTACCCTCAATACCCTATTGCCAGAGAACCCCCAGCCCAAGATGGCATGACAGAGGACTCTGTTTTGTGTAATGTCAGCTTCAACCTGATGTCCATGGATCCATAGCCACAAGGGAGACACCATCGCCTGGGGGTTAGTGCACATACAGGGACCAGGTTCCAGCTAATGCCTGCCCAAGTGCTTAGCTCAGAACTTGACCCAGTGAAGTAAGGACTCTAATATTAATGCCAATCAGTGACAATAAAAATATGAAATGCTAGTTAAGAACAAATATGGACTAAATGGCTATGCTCATTATAACTCAACTCTAGCATTGCTGCTTAATTAATTTTAAGTGATAATTTTATAATTCATTAGCAATACTCACATATTCATCCAGAATAAGATAGGAATCCTTCATCTGCAAAGGAGAAATTAAAAACAAATTTAGTTTCAAGTGTATTTTTCCATATGGATGCTGAACTGTTGGTCTTACAATGTTGGTGTGTTTGTGTTTTATTACTTGTGGATTCACTGTTTCTTATATCCCTTGAGTGTCTTTGGGTATGTCCCTTACAAAGTGAGCCATCCACCAGTGCCCCTATCCCCACCTAACACACATCTCTGGGGGCATCTGATTGTGTCCATTCAGAGTCCAACAGATTCACGCAGGCCAGATTCTCTGCCCCATGCTGAAATGGTCAGAGGTCACCTGAAAGCTTCTCTGACTGAAATCTCCAGGCCAATTTCCCGATTTCCTGAAGCTGTGGGAGAGCCCTATTCTTCGTTACTCAATATTCCCAGTAGCCGTGTCCACCATACATCTAGTTCTCCCTTTTTCCATGTATAAAGCAGAGCCCCTTTAAGGCTATCTCCTGGGAGCTTACCTGAGGAGTTTAACATTCCTTACACTACTTGTAACTAGTTGTGCCTTCTGTAGGTCTAGAGAAGGTGTACCTATACTCCTATAGTAGGTATATCTTTTATACTCACCCCTATGGGTAGGGGTCAGCGAACTTGTTTCTGTGAAGGGCCTAATAGCAAATATTTTCAGCCTTGTAGGCCATATGGTGTCTGTTGCAACTAATAGTCCCTGCAGACGTAGCTTGAAAGCCACCATAGACAATACTCAAAGAGTAGATGTGACCGTGTTCTACTGGCACTTTATTTATGGACCTTGAAAATTGAATTTCATATCATTTTCATTGGTCACGAATGTTATTCTTGTTTTGACTTTTCTCCCAACTATTCTTAGCTTGCATTCCGGAATTGTCTGTGGGGCCGTGGTTTCCCGACTCCTGAGCACCGTCAGGTCAAGACCGTGCTATCGAACGTCTGGAGCTGGGCCAGCAGCATCAGCCTCACCTGGGAGCTTGTGAAAGTGCAGAACTGTGGGCCCACCTCAGACCAGCCTGTTGATTCACAAACTTGGGAGCTTCCTGGGTGAAATGTGAAACTGGCCTTAACACTGCAGCAATGTACATTTGATCAAGGAAGTGTTTTTTTCTTTAGCTTCTGAGAACACACTAATTTACTCTGCCACTGGTAACACCTGGAAGCTCCATAGTGTAGACACGCTTTGGCTAATATTGTTTAATCTGGACCTTGGCCCTGAGACTGCCCTCCTTCCATCTCTCCACGCTGAACCCCCTAAATAACACTGTATGGAGCCATTGGGCGAGAGATTTCTCTCTTTGGAATCATCTAAATGTGTGATGGTGAACAAAGCAACTTTGGCTTTATACAACCTTCTGGTTAGACTCAGGCACCAAACAGGACACCTCTTTGTGGCGGTCTAAGAATCTTTCAAATTCTTCATCGCTAATAAGGAATCGTTCTGCTTCTCTCAGAGCATCTTCTCCGGAGTTCTCACCCTCAATTATGAGGCACTGGAAGACCTGAAAGACAAGTGTGGTGTTTGCTTTGTAAAGAGTTTTCCATCATTTTTTTACCCCAAATCTCATTTCCCCTGCCCCAAGCTGCATCTCTCCTAAGCAAAGAAGATCCATCGAACTAAGGAACATTCTAGAAAGACATTGCTCTGGGGAAGCAGGAGCTCACCCTAAAATTTAGGAAGCACAAACATTCCTAAAATATAAACTTCAAAAAACTGGTCTTGATTATGTTTTCTCTATTCATATAATCTAATTTTTCAGACTACAAAATAACAATGTTCATTGAAGGAAATATGGACTATACGAAAGCATCAAGAAAATAAACAAATCATTTGTAATCCCCAAACCAAGAAATAAGTATTTTCAAAATATTGTTTCCACTGATTTTTAATACATTCTAATTAAGGCCTCTAGAATATGTCTGTTTTTCAGTTAATGTATAAGGACAGTTTTCCAAAGCCATTAATAATCTTTTTCAACATTCTTTTAAGTAAATAAATAAATGTATGTGTGTAAGGTATTAATCCATCATAAGGAATACCATCATCTGAAAAGGAAAAACTCAGTCCCTGGGACTTGTTCAAGGTGACAATAGGCGGTGGCTGATCAAAGACAGACCCAGCCCAGAGCCCAGGTCTATGGGGTTTTCACGTAAGGGGAGATCCTCCATAGCATTTAATCAACACTTTAGTCAGCTTGGAAGTAATTTTAAAATGCCCTAAATATTGCCTTCTTGCTCACTCTTTATCCCCCCAGGATTCCCTTCTTCTGTGCTCCCCAGTTCTTTGACCTCTGCCCCTGCTGACCCTGGTCACATGGTTCTTTCACCATTTGCTTTCATGGCTGTCTTACTCAGTGGGCTGCGAGCCTCTTGGGAGGGGCTGTCACTCTTCTTGCACCCACAGCACTCACCCCCAGTCCAGGCACAGGGTGAGAGGAGAGGCCTGGCAGGGAGGGGTGCCTTCCCCACAGGTTGGAATCCCAAGCTGACTGGAGTTATCAGACAGTGAAGATACACATGGGTGTTTTCCTTGGTGGCTTTGGTTCCAGAATCTGCCAGCTAGAGTGGGAGGGCCTCTTGGGAGAAAATCACAGCATAGGAGCTTGAAGGAGAGCAGTGGGAGGGCGGTGGGACCAGATGGGGAGGGTCAGGTGGAGCCCACTCTGTTGCCACTGGAGCAAGCCTACAGATGACAGCAAACCCCCCTGTTGACAGATACCGAGTGGCTAAGCACTGATGTGCTGTGGACAGCACCTGCAAGCCCAGGGTCTCCCAGGGGTATGCAGCCTTGGGAAACCAGGTTCTGAACCACATGAGTGATCACATGAGAACTTGGCCCAGGGGCCTCCATTTACATCAATTTGCAGCCTGCAGACATCAACGATGTGATGAGAAAACTGTTTTCCAAACAGGCAGCAGCTAATCCTCTCCCTCCAAAAAAGTCAGGATTTTGAAAGGCAATTCTGGAGTGAATCAGGCAAGTGGAAGCCAGAGAAGAAGTAGACAGACTGGAGAAAAAAGCTGTGTATTAGAGAAGCGACAGGGAGCCACGAGCAAACCAAAGCCATGAGGAAACATATACGTATAAAAGCTGAAAAGAGAATAATGAGGGAGACACTAATAGCAAAAGAAGTGGAACAGAGATGCGGGAGCAGGGAAAGGAGAGTGGTGCCTGGCAGGTGGTTCTAGAAAGAAAATCTAAGAAGTTGGAGCTTAGCCCTCTGGCCTTGGTCTGGCCCTCCCTATTGGATCACAGCTTCTGTTCCTCCGATCTTCTCTTTCTTTAGCTCGTTTCCAGTTCCCCCCAGGCCTGGGAGAGTGGCTGATATTCCAGCTTACTTACATGTGTAACCATAGTTCAAGCTCAATATACTAATTTAAAAATGTAAGAAGTAAGTAACGTTGCAGCTTTCCCTAACCCATTTCCACATATTACAGGATAACCTCAGGAAAATAACATAATAATCCCTTTCCCCATCTCCCTAACCCTGTTCTGAACGCTGACATGGGATTTAAAACACATCCCAGGCAGCTTTGAAAGTTTTCTTTGTGCAGTGTGTCCTCTTATCTGGAGGTGACCTCCTTCCCCAGACCTTCCTCACCTGTGGAAATCCTGCCCATCTTTCAGAGCACAGCCAAATACCACCTCCTACATGAAGCCTTCCTAGCACTTCGGCAGAATGAGTCTTTGATTGTTTCACCCTCCCATATTATCCTAGCACATATAGCTTTACATTATGTGAGTTTCCCCATGTCTTTTCCTTATTAGAATTCAATTCTACATCTTATACTTAGTTGCATCTACTCTGGGGGCCAGGCAGAGATTTTGGACAGCTATATAATCTTCAGGGCAGCTTGTTAAAAATATTTATTCATGTAAGCCCTCTTGCTAATGTCTTCCCCCCCAGGATCCTGTTTCAGACCGTGGGTAGGGATGAGGTCCCAGAAGCTGCTTTTCAAACAGTCGCCCGAGTTGATTCTGAAGAACAGCCGAGGGAAGAAAACTTATTTATAAGAATTAAAAGCATCTGCACATTGTGGGTGCTATACATATACCTTGCATCGGCCTGCATGTATTTGAACTTTAGATTTTTTGGTGGCTGATCGTGGGGCCGGTCCTAAAGCACAAGTCTCAGGGAATGAATTTTGCTACAACTTGGGATGGCTTTGCCCCCAATATCTTCTAATAAGTCAATGAAACATTTATTAACATCAGAATTTATGAAGAACATATATCCACTTATAAATAAGCCAAGAGTTTTAAGAAGACATCCAGTCTTATTATATTAATAAATACATACAAGTTGGGCTTTCTATGGACATATTCTTCAGAACATCTTCATATACTTGGTATATCTTTTGATCATTATCCTCTCAATATTCCAGAAGCGAATCAGTTCCAGTTTTCAGAAGGGGAAACTGAGCCCAACAGAACGTCAGTAGTTTAATGTGTAACGGAGCGGAAAGAAGGACCAAGGACCAGGTCTCCCGGCTGGCTCAGTAGGTCGAGTTCTCTGTACCCTGGTCATTTTCAGTGTCACTGAGGCAAGTCTCTCCTGCAAGTGTTCTTAATTATAATTAGCATACGCAGCGCCATGTACTTACCTTCCAGCGGAGGGGGTTCAGTGCTTTAATCTGTTCGTTCATATCCTCTTCCACGTTGAATCGATTAATGACAGAGTTTATCTTGAAGGCCACTCTGTAATCCCTACACCACCTCCTCAGTTTTTGAAGGTTTTCCACGTGGTTCTTCTTTCCTTGACCACGGCCAATGAGGACATTGACTTGCTCGTCAAAGCTGTCACAGGAGATGGCGAGAATGTCCAAATATTCACCTGAGGGAAAATGATCACCTTTAAGCTTTTCCATTCAAGGACCAAGCCCTGTAGGCCATTTCTCTCTCTTTACGAGAGAACATATCTTGCTTGTATCTGTTTCAATGTTTTAAAAGACACTTTTCCTCATACCCACAAAACTCACTGAAATGTGAACTATACTTGGTACTTGTGTAAAATAATCTTGAAAATATATATATACACATAATGAGACGATGGAGATACATTTGACTGTTCTAAAACTCTGCACGTGTATGTGTGAACATTCATCAATATATTTAAATGAGGTTTTTCATTAATTCCTGCATCCGAATTATGTAACTTCTGAAGCAAGTAGACCTTTTGGCACCTCCAGACATATCTAGGAGCATTTACAGATTTACTTCTCTTTTTCTCATCACATAAGTAAACTTGCTCGGTAGAAGAACACTAATATTTCTGCCAAGATCTTTCGCTTCTTCTTGACTTGTTTTGTATATTTGATTCATCATCTAAAGATTTATAGAGATCCTAGGATATGTCAACCACAACCGTAGTAGATGCTGAGAAAGCCAAGATGAAGGGGAGTTCAGTGGAGGAGGCAGAGTGTAAACCACCTCCCCTGCAACGCAACATATTAAGAGACGGGACAGTGGGTTGAATCTGGAGCACAGTAAACATTGGGGAGAATTATCTTCATTTCGGTCTCTCTCCCATCGGTTTCTGTAACATTACTTTCTCCTCTGCTTTTCTTTCCACTCCTTTAACTTCGTCTGTTGCTCCCCACTATCCATCTGTCTGTCAGGCACAGGCACTCTCTGTCGCCCAGTCATTCACAGGCCAAGTCCTCGCAGGTGATTACGTTTGAGTTTTCCTAGTTATAGTAACTATGCAGCATTGACTGCAAAGTCAATTCTTAAAACTACTCTCAAATTATAGAAACTGGGGTTCCAAAAACTCTTTAAGCAATTGTTCTTTAATTTTATAATTGGAGAGTAATTTTGACTTCAATGTAGGGGCTAATTTGATGGTATCCATATGTATAGCCTCCACTTCCCCCCCAAAATTGCAGAAAGATGAAAGTAATTGATGGTCTCGAACTGTGAACAATGACTTAGGGTGAGTTACAATCTGTTACCTAATCATACATCCTTGGTATCCCATCTTCCTAACTAGACTCTAGGCTCTCCAAGGGCACTTGTCTTTTACTTATTTTATAGGCCCAAAGCATCTAGCACAAACTGAAGCCAGAATAGGGAAATTGGCCATTATTTAAAACAACCAGAATATCCTAAAAATTGATCTCGAATAAATTCCTAATGGCATATCATATTGGGAAAAGGCAACTAACTGAACAAGTAGTCTCCAACCAAACCAAATAGGAAGTTCAAAACCCAAAAATAGAGACCCATCAGTTATGTTAATGCCTTACCTAGTTGATTCCAAGCCAGCCGAGAAGCTCTAAGTCGATTGCTTTTTCTAGCACCTCTCCAGCTTTTGCTGTGTTACTATGATATCCCCTCCTCCTGCTCTAAGAGTTTCTTATCAAAGCCATTGTGCAGAAAGAGTTCACAGAGCAGATCTGTTTGCTCAGTCCCTGTATGTCTCCAGGAGAGCCTGGAACCATGATGGAATCCTGGCCAACCCCTGCAGGTATGGCTGCCAGAAGGTTATGTATGTCACTGATGGATGATATGTGTATGCCTGGAGCAGTGGGGCGTGTAAAATCAACTTGTCAAGAGTTGCCAGGATTGTTCAGCAGGGTTCATGGTGCACCTGGTTTCACTGTTGAGGGCCCTGAGTTTCAGTTGCCATGGCTGGTTGCATAGCAGTATTTGCCTAGGGGACCAGCCCTGCATGAAAGCCTCAGACTCTAAGACTCAAATGAGCTCTCCTGGGCCAAGACATTCCAAACATGTCCCTGTCATTCACTGCTGGAGAGAAAGCACACCTTGTGCGTCCCTGGATGGGGAAGGACTCAGAAGCTTGTCTGGCCTCTCTAGACTCTGGTGATGCATGTCTTTTTTCTGCTGTTTCCGCTCTGTAGCTTTTGCTCTAATAAACCTCAGCCATGAGTATAACTGGCTATTAAGTGAGTTCTCCTAGAACTCTCTGAGAACTCCTACCACTCCTTTTAGAGTGGTAGTGGGAGCTCTGAAACAGCTCTGTGCATCCCCTCAAGCACACAGACCCATCCCTGGTCCTTTCACGTGGGTATACATAAACACGACATCTAAAAATATTTCAAATTGAGATTTACCAGAAAATGTAGATTTCTGATGTGTATTTGATAATTTGAGGATGTGGCAACCCTATCCTAAACTCCTATATAGTACAGAAATCAATGGAAGCTCATAATTGACTGTCTACTTGTCCACTATGAATAGCGCATGATGCTTCCAATTCTTCACAGTGTTCACACTTTCTTACTGTCTCTCTCCCACCAAAGCTGGTTTTTCTCACGCACTTCCAAATTCACTAATGACACTACCTCCCCCATACAAGCATTTGAGCCTCTGACCCTGAAGGGCAGGGACCCTCCTGGCCACTACTCTTCACACCACACTGACAAGCATTTGCAGTGATCTTGGAGGGAGAGCATTGCCCAGGTACACACCCAGCAAAGCTGACCGACTATTGTCTGCTCACACGGCTCCCTAAACCTTTCTTGTCTCTCTAAAAGTGGTTTCCAAAGCTTACTCTAGAACTTCTGATCCCTGTTTCACTAAGTGACTCCCTTCATGGCTGTTTTGGTTTTAATCCATTGTCTTGTCTTTCCTGATTTACCTTTACCTGAAACTTGTGAATCCTCTCTTCCTGCTTAACCTTCACCATATGGGCTATCCTACCCACATCCACAACCTCCTCGCCCTCCCACGTCCATTTCCTCACCATCTCAGAAGGGGTATTTGGTCAGAGATTTCCTGCGAACATCCCCAACAGATCACAAATGCAACTACCTTTTGAATGATTTCAAGGTTCAAACAGCTCATACAAAGTAACAGAAACTTGTACTCTAAGAGTTAGGCTCTGTCTCCTACAATGGTAGCAGTATTAATAACTAACATTTTCAAGTGCTTCCTAAGTTCCTTAGAGCACATATTACATCCATGTAACACTTAGCTGTAATCTTACGATCAGTGGTTCATAATCCTGGTTGCACACACAGTGGAATCCCTTGAAGCCCCCCCCTAAATTGGCTTGTCCCCACAAGGGGGGGTTCTGACATAATTAGTATGGGCTCCAGTCCCAACAGATGTTTTATTTACAGTTCCTAAACAGCCAAATATGCAGCCAAAGGTGAGAACGACTGTTTTAGTCCAATCGCTTAATTTATACATGAGACTAATAAAAAATAGTTATGTAAATATTTTTGAAATTAAACATTAATAGCAAACAAACAACAATGTCAGGGCTTACAAGACTGTCAACTGCGTCAATTTTCCTTGCAAGTGGTTAAGCTAAAGCCATAGGTCTTAATACTTGCTAAATTGAAATGTACAGAAGAGATATGGTTACTAATCTTTTCTGTTATGTGTCTTGCTAGACTTGTTTATTTAGAGCCCTACCAAACTGAAATTGCCATAACTCCATGCACAGCTTGAACAGATATTAGAGTAAGCAAGATTGCTTTTTCCTCTCTTCCGGTCCCCAGCAGGCCCGGCCTAAAGCCCAGGATGGAAGGAAATACAGTAACCAACAACAATAGCAGCAACCACTACAGCGTCACACAGCAAGCTCACCGTAGCTCTTGAACCACCTCTCCCGGATCAGGCTCCCGTTGCTCACGATGCTCACGCTTGGCAGCTGCAGCTCGTCCTTGCAGAACTTCACCAGCTTGCCTAGGTATTCGCCCCGGTCATGGAGAAATGGCTCTCCGCCTGAAAAGTTTATCTTCTCCATACCTGAGAGAGAGGAAACGTGAATTTTTCCTTCTATTTTTACACTTCACCAACATCCATTATTATTTTAATGGCAAAAGTAATACTTTCTCAATGGAACAGAAATGAAATAACTCCTCACTGTCCTCCCTCCTCTAACCCTGGCTCCCTTTCAACCTCATGTTGTCTGAATAAGCATGTATATAATCCAGGGCCTAACCAGGAAGAAATATCACCTGAAGTTGTGTTTTTTCCCCTATTTTAAAATAGATGCACTTCAACTTAGGAATTAGTTACACCGACGACAGAATTGCTTAGAAGCCAAAGGGTGCCATGCAGCAGCCCACAGATTTGCAAACAGAACACCACTTGCCGCCCATGGAGACTGGTTGTTCTCGGGGCTCTTAGCCCCCCGGACATCATTCCTCATCACTCTGGGATTGCCCTTCCCCCCGTGGACTGGATGCCTCCTGCCTTGGAATCTGCATCTTCCTCTCTCGGTTTACTCCCTTATTTTGAAAAATTCTTTTAGCGCTTTCCTGGAAAAATGTAAAATATGAATTAAAGTGAGGACTTTTGTGTTTCCAAATACACTTGTGATCAAGTGTGGCCAGGTATACTATTCTGGGTGAAATCACTTCTCACTCAGAATTTTCAGGGCATTACTTATTGTCTTCTAGGTTTTAGTACTATTGTTCAGATGTCTGCTCTGTCTCTTATTTATGATCTTTTATAAGTACATGGCTTTTGCCCTTCCAGACACTTTCTTTCCAATGTTCTGAAATTTTAGGATGATGTGCCTTCATGGACTCTGTCTCTATTCATTGCTCTGGCCACTTGGAAGAACCTCCATCCAAAAACACAGCTCTCTATCTTACGAGAAGTTTTTCTACCTCACTTGTTTGATAATTTCCACCTCTTCTCAGATTTACTTTTCTCTTTCTGGAAATTCTCTCACTGGCATGTTGGAGCTTCTGGATTAAACCACTGTTTTCCTTCCTCTTGTCTCTTCTGTTCCTGTTGTCCTGTTTTTCTAAGACTATCTTTTAGTCTTTCTAGTAAAATTTTAACTTTAGAAATCCCATTTTTAGTTCTCCAAACTCTCCTATATTCTGACTATTCCTTTTCTTAGCATTGTGTTCTTATTTCATATATGTAATTCTTTCTGTCATCTCTCTGGAATTACTAATTATAGGTTTTTTGAAGTTTTGGTCTTCTTTCTGTTTTCTCTCTGTTTGTTTTGTTTGCCTTTTATTCTGGTGTTTTATTTGTCCATTCATACTTGAGTGAGGCCCAAAAGAGCTGAATGGAATTTCTGTGACTAAGGGAGGGACTGCTCAAAGGGACAGTTCCACCACAGAATGATAAAGAGGGGAAATTGTTTATTCACTAGATAACGCTCCAAATGCCAGTGTCCTTGGTCTTTCCTCCGGGCCATTTTGTTTCCCGGAGAAGACTCTTACCTCTCCTCATATGCCTTAAGTGCCGGCTGCCTGCCCCGCAGAAGTGTCCAACAGGCTGGCTTGCACTTAGCCCTGTATATTCAGTGTGGTGCTCTCCTCCTCCTCCTCCCTGCTCAGATGCCCCTGAGGTCCTTGGGGCCTCAGATCCCCTTGGGGTCCTGATCTTTCAGAAAATGAACCTTCTGTCATCTGCAGGAACTGGGAGGGGCCTTGTCTGACCATGGTGGGGAGAGCTGCAGGTCTGCCTCCAGGCTGTTGCCTCCTTTCTGCCTCACCCTCACTTCTTACCCACTGTCTTCCTTGTCATGACACGATGTGCCAACGTCTGAGACTTCCTGCCTTCCATGGGGCAGGCTGGTGAGCTTCCCGCAGCCCTTCCCCTGCACACACACGTTGAAGCTGCCCAGGTGCATACATCAGATAACAGCTCCGTGTTGATTTCTCTGTGGGTTTATTCCCCTTTCAATTATTTTTCTGTAATTTTAGGGGAGTGGAGGAAAGATTGGAGGGAATGGAGAGAAACATGTCATGATTAACTAGAAGGCCAAGAGTATTTTGAAATTCAGATTTTTATACAGTGATATTGTCACAGTGGAGTTCATTTTAAATTCAATTCAGTACTACTCAGTTCACTGAGTCTTTAGTAGATGCTCTCTGCTAGTGGTCCATATCATAGTGGGTCATTTCCAGAATGAACCCTTAAGCAGTAAGCAGCTTGTTCCACTAAATGAAGTTTTAAATGCCCACTTCACAGAATTTTGATGGTGCTCAGAGCACAGATATAAGCCAGCATGTTCAGATTAGAGACAAGCCACTGCTGGTTCAGAACGTGGGGAGAAGAGGGAAGAGGGCACAACAAATCACAGAAATAAAAGCAGATGTGAGAATCAGAGATCCAAGGGGGAAGCATCAGGCCCAGTAAGACCAGCACAGACTTGGTCACAGGAAGGAAATAATTAGAAACACTGACGAGAAGAGCAGAGAGGTCCAGCGAACTTACTAAGGCACAAGTAGCACAATGTACTTACCAAGTTCCCTGAGAACGTTGTTAATCTATCCATTCAACAGACTTTGTACCTACTAAGTACCAAATACTGTGCTTGGCAATTTAACTTGTGCAATCGCACAGTGGTATAGTTTTTAAAATGCTGTCTTGACCCAGTTTCGATGCCCTGGCTAGAGGCTGGTTAGTTCTTCTTGAGCAGCCATTTAAGTCAACACCCCCAGCGCTTCCTCTACTGGGCTTTCACACTGGGCCGCTATACACTGCCCTACAGGGCCAGGTCCCAGACAACCAGAGACAGCACTATGCCCAGAGCCCACTGAAATTATTCCAGCTAGCCCATGCTAGGCCGGCTGGCCCTACCGTGTCTGTTCCTTCTGGCAGAAATCACAAGAAAGGCTCTTGTCCACTGTTCCCCCATCTCCCTCTGCCTGGCGGCTGGCCCCAGTACACCCCCTGGGCCCTGGGTGGCAAATTGTGTCCTCTCCAAGAAACTGTGAGTAACAAAACTGTAAAGCTCTTCCCAATTTCTCTCTCTTGATCTGCATCTGGCCTCCCTATACCTCACCCAAGCTAACATGGTTAAAACACTCGCTTAATCCTTAAAATAATCTAGTGAGGAAGAAATTATTATCCTGCTCTGTAGTTGCAGGAATTGAGCTCCAGAAAGGTTCTATGATTTACCCAAGATCCTGAGTCTAGAGAAAAGTTGAGCTAGACTGTCTGCCCATGCTTCATAGCCTTTGATCTTCCTAAGTAGGGTCGCCGTCCATCCCGGCTCGCCCAGAACAGTCTGGTTTACGGTCGACCAAATCACATATCTGTTCCTTTTAGAATCCCCTTTGACTCTCAGATGTGTCTACAATTGGACACTAATACATCATATCACCTCACTATGTATAAGCTAACATGCTAGGAGGCTGCTTGTGTGACTATCATTATAATCCAATAAAAACATTATTCCCTAAAAGTGTGGTTAAATAGGGACAGATAAACTGGAGAAAGCGAGACAGCGTATTGGTCAGTGGCACAGCCCTTGATGAGTTTGAGGAGCAGGTTTAGAGGGGACGAAAGAACGAGAAAACTGAAGGAACAGGATGTTGAGCCGTAGTTAAGATCTCGGACAAGGAACAATTAATTCACAATGGTGTCAACGTACAAGAGCGATCATATTACAGCACAGATCAATACCTGATGCTCACAACAGTTCAATTCTATTCAGTCTTCTCTGTTTAAAAGCCAGAGAAGTAAATAATATATTTTAGAAGCATCTTCAGCCAGAGTGGTAAATTTTAATTTTAAATATAATACTCATTTAAATGAAACATTTTCATTTAAATTTTAATATGTTTCAAGTTTTAATCATCACCAAAATAGATTTTCCTCTATGAGTCAGAAATCTCACTTACAGGACACATAACCCATACTATACACTAACAATTTTAATTAACTTTGGTTTTATTTATTTAAAACTGAGTAGTCATTATATAAAAGTATTAATTATAACTACAATAGTTTATAATCCATAAAAAAATACATAAGCATTCACTTATTTGTGCCTTGTAACAACTTTTTGAGGTGGGCATATGGGTTATCGTTATTATCTACATTTCAATGGTTATTAAACTGATATTCAGAAAAGTTAAATGTCTTGACAAATCTCGTAAGTGGTGCAGCAAGAATGCAAACTCTGGCCTTGTGAGTCAGGAGTCTAAGTTCTTTCCACGACACCAGACCTCTGCTCATTTGTTCACTCATGCATTGATTCGCCCATCCAAAACATTTATTAGGCCCCTATTACATTCTATATATTTTTCTAGGCACAAAAATACACAGAATGCTAAGATTCGACCTTGGAACTCAAACCCCTTGGTGGCCCAGACATTAAAAACAAAACAACAAAGGGCCAGCCCAGTGGTGTAGGGGTTGAGTCGGGTGTACTCAGTTTCAGTGGCCCAGGTTTGCGGGCTCGGATCCCTAGCGCAGACCTACACCACTCATTAAGTCATACTATGGCGGTGACCCACATACAAAATAGAGGAAGAGTGGCACAGATGTTGGCTCAGGGCCAATCTCCCTCAGCCAAAGAGAAAACAAAAAAAAACCCCAAAAAACATAGGAGTACAGTTTAAAAAGTGCTCTAATATGCATTTGTAACCAGTGTCATGGGATCACAAACGAAAGGGAGTATTAATTCTGCCTGAAGACGACCAGGAGTAATCCAGAGGAGCATTGAAAGCTCACCAACAGGGATTGGGGTGACCGGCATTCCAGGAAGAGAGAACAGCACCATCACAGGCTTGAGGATGCAGGTGTTGGAGGAGAAGGAGTATAACAGGATGTTCCCACAGTACAGGGCACTTAAGACATTGGGGTGGAGGACGCTGACGGAAACACTGAGCTTGCCGAGGGCCGAGGGCCTTGAAGTCTCTGCTGACGAGTTTGGGCTTGGAAGCCATGCAGGAGAGTTAAGTGGGGAGCAAAAGCATCAAAAATATCTTTTAGTACGATAACGTGCTTTCAGTCGGGACAGCTGAGACAATGAGATGAAGTGCAGCAGTCCCTGGGAGAAATGGCGGGACCCCAGGCTAGACCACCCTGGGAACAGCGGCGAGGTAGGTCTGCACTTGGATTAGCTGTGGATGACTGAGCAGGCGTAATGGGGAGCAAAATAAGTCAGATCCAACAAAGTGCAAACTCTGTGATTTCATTACATAAAGTACAAAATCAGGCAAAACTCATCTGTGTGTTAGAAGACAAGCTCGTGTTTACCCTTGCGAGGAGGGCAGTGGCCGGAAAGGGGCCCACTTCTGGGCACTGTGATGTTTTCTTTCTAGATATGCATGCTGTTTACCTGTGTGGTTACTTTGTAGAATACACTGAGCTGTACCCTCAGGATGTGTGCAACTTTGTGCCCGCATATTACAATTCTGTACAAAAGTTAAATACTTTGAGAAAAAAGTTGGCGGTGTTGCTGAAGTTGCTAGCTTAGGAGGTGCTCTAGGAAAGACAGGAAGACAAGGAGTGAGGGAGAACAGATCTGGAGTGGAGGATGTCGCCTTCTAATTGGACATGCTGAGCTCTCTCTGAGACGCCTGCGTATGACTAGTGCAGTAAAGCTGAGCAGGCAAATCTCGAGAGCAAGGTCATTGCTATATTTGCATTGTACATATCTTCCAAGTTTCATATTAAGAGCAAAACATAAATAATCCCAAATAAAAGACTCAAAGATTGCAGTTCTTAAGTCAAAGTTTTTGTGTTTGTTTTCAACCTTCCTTATGAACTGTTTCTGAAAAACTCCAATCCATTAGTGCTTTGGACAAACTTGCCTCCTTCCAAACTCTAGATGGACTGGGAGCCTGGCATTTGCACAGACTTCTGCTCACTTAGAAGCGGCAGGAGGTGGGTTTGTTCCACTTCCCCACCATGCCAGCGCACTCTGTGGCTTAGGGAGGCTTAGGCGCCCATCCCCAAATTCCCTTTAGCGTTCTCTCACAGGATGGCGTCCTCACTGTGCAAGGGGAGAGGACTAAAGGAGAGTTTCTCTCCAGCCAGTGAGCGCCCCAGCTCCTCTCCCCTTAGCCCACCACCCAGTGGCAGAGCACCCTGATCTCTTGCTGGGACTGGGGACTCACCGGCTTCCTTAAGCAGCAGCAGTCCTCGCTTGGCCTCCTCGAGGGGCAGCACGAAGGACGTTTTGGCCGTGTGGAAGCAGAAGCCGCACTTGTAGTTGCACTGGCGGGTGAAGTGGTAGTTGACGCTGAGCGGGGTGGTGGGCTGGTCGATGCCCTCTTCCTCTTCCCTTCTTGTCTCCACCGCTTCTTTCCTGCCCTGCTGCTGCCGTCCCCTCTGAGTCCCTGCCAGCTGGAATGCTGCCCTGAGGCTGGGGAGCAGGGGCACCAGACTGCTCCACAGATAGCTCAGCTGCATCCTGAAAGCACTCAGCAGCTTCCCAGCAAAAGCGATGGGCACGAGCATCCACATGGTGCCAGGCGCCCTGAGGCTGCCCGCAGCTCAGAGACGCACTTTATATGCTCCTGAGCAACCCGTCACATGAGGAGGAGGAACACACCTTCTTTGACTAATTCTCAGCTGAGTTTAAGTTTCCATCTTCATTTTCGTGAAAATGAAAGTTGGAACAGGGCCAAGACAGAAGGCGCCAGATTAGGGCCAGCATCTGCTTCAGTGCTCGCCTCTGTCCATGGTATAAAGGATAGCTTTCCAACTGAATGTGGATCAAGATATTGGCATCTATCTCTACCTCCATGTAGCAGATAGCGATGGAACCAGGCAGCGATACAGTCACCTCTACAGTTGTCGTATGACTCACACATAACATAACATGGAGAAGCTTCTACCCCATCCCCCTTCACATGGTGGGCATGCAGTGAAAGTTTCTTGTGAAAGCCAAATAATGAAACGTCTGACTGACTGACCAGTGGGGGACAAGAGCAGAATCTGTCAGCCTTGGGCCCCGTTTTCAGGTCACAGTCAAAATGCATAGGCACATAATGACATTTATGCCTTAATCCTTCTGTAGTTATTCGGCTTAATTTATGCATTTTCATAGTGTTAAAATTTTGACATTTATATTTTTCCGCATTTCTACACCATTTTTAATAGACAATAGGAAAATCAGTTGCTTTTCTAAGATGTTTCTAGATTGGCAAGAATTACTGTGGCTTGTTATTTATTTTTAGTTTTCTTAGGAAGCATTGTTGAATTTTGTAATGAAATCCTCTTTCTTTTAGTGTCTTTAATCAGAATTGTGTTTGAACTTGTGGTCTTATGTTTTCATGAGATTTGTAGAAAGTTGGAATAGGCCTAATGGTTAAGCTTCTGGAGCCACGAGCCTACTTCATCACGTACTGGCTGTGTGACTTTGATTAAGTTACTCTATTTCTCTGAATCTCCATTTCATCATCTGTCAGACTGGATATCTCATGGTATGTTTGTGAAGACTGAAAATTCTAATTTATGTGAATCACTTAGAACAGTGCCTAGAAAACAAAGCATTCAGTTAGGGTCAGCTATTGTTATTCTAGGAATGCTATACTCTGAATGGAAAAAGAGATGACTTTCCTTTTACTTAGAAGGGAAACTGAAAGCAAATCCAGCAAGTGCATGCTTCATGATTGCCAATTATGCAATGAAGGATATGGTACAAGTCCTTGAAATCTTAGCCAAAAGTAGTTTAAACTCTCACCATAGTCTGGCTCCATTACGAACTATATTTTTACTAGATCACATGTGTATGAAAACCAAATCAGTTTACATTTCAAATCAAATATCAGGTATGGCACAGAGGGTAATCATGCAGGCTTTTGAAGCCAAACATTTTAAGGTTTGAATCTTAGTTCAGCCAATAGTGTTTAATTTTGGTAGATTTCTTTACCTGCCTGGTCTTGTTAAAACATCTGGGAAATATGAGTATGAATGTCTAACTCAGGCAGGGTGTTTTAAGGATTAAACGACATGATGTATATTAAGCACTGAGAGTAGTGCTCAGCATAATAAATTAGGAATATCTTGCCCACAGAGAGCACTGCGTGCCAGGCCCTGTGCTGCACTTTACACACACCAGCCAATTTCACAGCTGGGCAAACTCGTGTTGCACAGGAAGTAAGGATTTGAACTGGATTTAAGCACTTGCAATACAGCTCAATAATTGATCATTATTATCACATCATTTTATTATTACTTCCTAAGTCTGTTCTATCCAGGCCAGTTTCTTTTATTCATTCATTCATTCAGGCATTCTTTCTTTCTTTCTTTTCTTCAACGAGTGTTTATTGAGAGCCTTCTATGTATCAGGTAAAATATTAATAAATATGAATAAAATATAAATAAATAAGTCAAAGTTCCTTCTGGCAAAGAGCTCACAAAAGTCAACAGTCACTTTGGTTTTCTTTGAACATATGCTCATTCCTTCCTAACCTGCCTTACTCCACCCATCTGAGAGTAAGGCTCAGTAGTGGCAGACTTCTTCAAAGTCACGGCTTGCAAATGGCAGGAAGAGATTTCTTCTTCCAACTGCTCAAGATGGGAGTGGGCTGGAGTGGAGGTCAGCGCAGCCCCCTTCTTGCTATCTACTCCTCGGGCAGTAGCCATCTCTGAAGGCATCCAAGTGCAACTGGATAACAGCCGAATGTTACTGTCATTTTTAGCCAGAGACTTTTTTCTCTGAACACGTATCCCTAACGCACATCCCTAACGTGCTCCATGCTCCCTGATTGGACCATCCCCTGCCGCAATGTAACAGGAGCTGCAACACATTAGCAGGCTGTGGAACCAGTTTAGTTACTTGAAACCATCATATTACTTTGGTAAATCTTTTTTCGAAGCATACTATACATAAAGAAAAGTGCACAATTCATAAATGTACAGCATGATGATTTCCTGACAGAATGAGTGCATGTATGTAGTGACCATCTTTATCAAGAAATAGAATTTTACCCAGACCTTGAAGTCTCCAATACTTTCCCCCAGGCCCTGAAGCCTACCTCTACCCCAAAAATCACACTGTCCTGTTTTTCAAAACCGTATTCTATATTTGCCTGTTTTTGACGTTCATGTGGATGGAATCACACAGCGCATACTCTTTTCTAGCTTCTTTCACTCAATGTTTTATTTGTAGATTTACCCATTTTGTTGTGTTTAGCAGTGGTTTGTTCATTTCATAGCTATGTGAGATCCCATTGTTTGAATATACTACAATTCACTTAATCATTCTGTGATGATGAGCATTTGGAATATTTTGTTATTATGCTATGAATTTTCTTGTACATATCTTTTGGTCCACATACGTATGCATTTATGTTGGGTATATACCCAGGAGTGGAATCACTGGTCTGTAAGGTATATGCATGTTCCCTTTAGTACATACCTCCAAAGAGTTTTCCAGAGTGTTTGAACCAGTTGATGTTAGGAGCATAGTATAAATATTCTAGTTGCTCCACAACTTCCTTCTCACTTGGTATTGTCACTTTAAGATTTTTGTTTTGTCTTGTTTAATTTACCTATCCCAGTGGGCATGTAGTGGTATGTCACCGTGGTTTTAATTTCCGGTTCCCTGATGACTAAGATGTTAAGCACCTTTTTATGTGTTCATTAGCCAGTTGGATATTCCCTTTTGTGAAGTGCCTGTTTAAATCCCTTGCCCATTTTGTATTGAGTTTTCTGCATTTTTGTTATTGATTTGTAGAAATTCACTGTATATCGTGTACTTTCTTGGTTATATGTATTGCAAACATCTTCTTTAACTCTTTCGCTTTCCTGTTCACTCAGTTACTGGTTGTAATTTAAATCATTTAATGAGTGTAGTTTCACTGATTTGCAGAGTCATAATTGTGTGTGTGTGTGTTTAAACAAATGAAGTGGTCTATCAAAGTGCTTCAAAATAAGAGTGAGTGCTATTCCTTGACATTTTAATTTAATTTTCACGTATAGTTGGTCGTGTTTCAAGAGTATCAAGACCATCTTCACGTACAACTATGACATACAACTATCTACTGGGGCTTTGGGAGATAAAAGGAAAAAAAGAGGAAGACTGGCAATAGATGTTAGCTCAGGGCCAATCTTCCTCAAAAAAGAAAGAAAGAAAGAAAGAAAGAAAAGACCACCTTCATGTTTACTGATTGGCTAAAGGGACTTGTATGACTCAGGAGCAGGTTACACTGGCAGGTAGGGTTTATTCCAGGGAGGGGATGCAGAGTAAGAACAACGGGAAAAAGATGAACATCAAACAGAGACAGGAAAGGTCCACACAGGCTCAGAAGAGTCCTTCACCACCTGGGGTTGCACACGAGGCGCTTTCTCTCTAGCAGTGAACTACAGGGACAAGTGTGAGCTAGCTGGACAGGAAAACCTGCCTGAGTCTCAGGGTCTGGGGCTACCTGGTGGGCTGGACATGTAGGCACAATCTGCTGTGAGCAACCATGGTCACCTAATCTCCGGCACCAAGAGTGAATGAGAAGCCCATCACCAGTCTGGATGTTTGTGCAAAGCAATCCTGAGAAGCCGGTGTGGCATGGTCATTGCTCCAGGTGTACATGTAGAATCACTGATGATTAATATAAAGAACGTTTCCAGGGCCAAGTTTCTAGCATTTGGCCAGGATCAATCGTCGTTCCAGGCTCCCCTGGAGAGATGCCAGAGTGAGCACACACACCTGCTGTGTTAGCTCTTTCCTCACGGGGAGCTATATAAATGACATTTCTTAGCGAGAAAACCAACTCCACAATACAATACCCTTCAAATCGGAAGCCCACAAATGTGCGCAAAACAGCTTTTATAAAAGAGAAACAGAGGGTTTATATAGTAGGTTTATCTGTTCCTTGATAAGGCACTTATAAAACTTGTCCAGTGCTTCTTAGACCCTTCTTTAACTTCCTTCTTGGGATCTGGATTATAGAATCATCACTCTTTCCTGGGGATCTATTTTATTAATTGTTATTTTCCAAGTGCATCATTTATGTTGTGACATTCAGATTTATTGATGTAGATTGTATGTAATATTCTCTCTCGTTTGGTGTCCTCTTTAAACTGTGCTTCTTTCCTCTCTTGTATTATTGTTATGCTGACTTCATTTTCTTTCTGTTTTTCCACTTGAATGGGCTACCTAGAAGCATATCTATTTAAACAGGTTTTCAAAACCAAATCTTTTTCAAAATAAATGTTATGTTTTCATTTTGTTATTTATTAATTACTGCATTTATGTTTGTTAATTCTCCCTTTTGTTTTTTTCCCTTGAGCAGAATGGCTAGAATAGTTTCACTTTTTTTCTCTTTGATACTGTGAGTATTGAAGACTATGGCTTTTTTTTTTACTGAATAAAGCGGTGTTATTCATTCATTCAAAGACCTCTTTGAAGTGTCTTTCCAGCTCCCAGCTTCTCTCCTCCCCACCCACAAGAGTAGGTTACTATAGGCAAGTTTATTCAATCTAAACATCCCCACAAGCTGGCACCATCACATTCTCTTTCCTAGGAATTTGAAACTGGGGCTCAAAGATATGACAGAGATTTTTCCTCTATGAATGAAGATATTGTATCTTCAGTCTTCCACACAGAGTTAATTCTGACTGAGCCCAGACGCTGCAGTGCCATGAATTTCACAGTCATCTTGTAGGGAGGAGGTGGGTGAAAATGGAGAGGAGAACCTCAATTAAGAATGGACACCATGGTTCATTTAGCCAACTACCAGGCTGGCTTCCTGTTGGAGGCTCGGAGAACTTCCTGCTTACTGTCAAGGCGTTCAGTGGAGGGAGACTGGAGAGTGTAAAAATCCTATCATTCAAATAACTTTGATGGAGCACAGCAGAGAGGCTACTAACCCAGATACTTCAAAAGGTGGCCTGGGCTAAGCTGTGCTCCCCTCCTAAAGTCATCTGTTGAAGCACAACCCCCATACCTCAGAATGTGACTGTCTTTGGAGATGGGGTCTTTAATGAGGTGATCAAGGTAAAACGAGGCCATTAGGGTGGGCCCTGATCCAATATGACTCAGAAAAGGAAATCTGGACACACAGAGACACCAGGGACGCAGGGACCGAGGAAAGACCAGGTGAGGACACAGCGAGAAGGCAGCCATCTGCAAGCCAAGGAGAGAGGCCTGGGGAGAAACCGAACCTGCTGACACCTGGATCTCCTGCTTCCAGCCTCTAGAACTGTGAGAAATAAATGTCTGTTGTTTAAGCTATTCTGTCTGTGAGATTTTGTTATGGTGGCCCTAGTGCAGGGGTGGGGAGTGGGGGTGGGGAGGGGGTGGGCATGGGAAAAGGGTCAAGAAAGGCTCAAGGGAGGAGGCAATACCATCTTAGAGAAGGAATTACAGGAAGACTCCTATTTTCACATGTGTGATACACGTGAACACACCTCTCTACCCTAAATGTCTAAAAGTCACATTACTCTAGAGAATAAAAATGATTCTATTCTCTAAGAGCTAAAAGTATCTCAAACTCTGAGTCATCCCTTGTCTAGTAACCCATACTTCAACAAGCTATCTATAATAGTTCATGTTTGTCAGAAAGGTTTTTTTCTTTCAGAATTAAACATAACCCCACACTAAATCCCAATTGATTAAATCATAAAATTTAGTTGCTTCTAGTTCATCTAATGTTTTTCATCTTTGTCTCAATTCCACATTTTTGAGATTTTTCCCCATGGATTTTTTTTTTTTGGTCTGATTGAAAAATTTTTTTTTAAGATACTAGTTAATGAGTAAAAACAGAATAAAACATCCAAATAATTGTGTAAATTCTGCTCTACAAAGGCAGCAGTACTGCTGAAACCGGGCTTCTGGCTGGTAAGGCCTGCTACGTACTACTGTCTCATCCGACCTGAGAGCAGGACTTTAATTTGGCTCAGGTCAGGCAACTCAAAGGTGCAAATCTGGGGATACTTCCAGCCTGAGAGTCAGCAGAAGGGGGCTTGGGAGAATAATTCCAAGAAGACAGAGAAGCAGGTGCAAAGGGGAGTGAAAAGTGCTCCCTGTTCCCAGCCATAAAAGCCGCAAGTAGGACTTGGTCTGAGCCAGGGCAGGACGGGTGGTCAGAGTGGAGACCCGAGGCCGGGAAATGGGTGAGTCTGCAGGGTCTGCAAGTCATGCCCAGATAAGGAGTCTGCAGTGCAACAGAGGAGGAATGCAAACCAGGGCCCGGGGTCATCTGCCTCCTCCCCGAACGCGGCGCCAGAGCCGCCTTCGGGCCGCGGGCTCAGGTCCCCAATCGGTGCCAGCCCGCGGGGCCGGCCTGGTGAAGGCAGCCCTTGGGGTTGGTACGCGGGGACAGCGCGGGCGGCGGCGACGCGACCCGCGGGCCTTCCCTCCCGGCGGCCGCTCGTTTCCGGCGCGCACCTCGCCGCGGGAAGGCGGAGGCGAGGCCAAGGAGGGCGCCCCAGACCGGGGCCCCGCCCGCCCCCGCCGGCCGCTCGCT